TACTTCTCCAATACATGAAGGAAGATATTTCAAAAATAACAACCGACTACAAAAATACAAAAACATTCATTGACAACCGACTACAAAAACATTAATTGAAGTATTACAAAGTCAACAAAAAACGCTAGTTCACTGTAGGCGTTACTATAGCAAAACCAGATATGAAGTGATCAAATGTGAAATCTCATGTGCAAAAATGAATAGTGATTTGACCATCCTCTCTTTTAATAGAGTAGTGAAATACTGTGAGTACAGAAAATTTCTAGAGAATTTTGAACAGCCATTACACTTGTCGATATCCTTTGCCGTGTGCTAGAATACAACAAAACATTCCAACTTGTTCATATATGTCAATGTTCGTGCTGCTGGCAATGTCGTACTCATCATGCAGGATGTGCGTAAAGTACATAAACATCGGAGGATACATCCTAAATTCTTGAAAACACGTTTGTGGATACACATGCATATTTTGTAGCATAAAAATGTGGCTGCATCGCGTTGTCGGGAGCAAATATCGATGTGTTTTATTAAGTGCCAAGTATTCGCGAACAATTCGCTCGGCGATTCTACAGTACTGAAGTCACGTGTTAATGTCGTCCTGTAATTGGTGCATTAGATCTTCATCTGAACAAGTATTTGAATCATATGTCGATTCAACGTTGCAGTTTGTTTCTGAAGAAAAGTACACCTCTAAAGTATCTAATATCTTTTACACTAATATGTATTCTGTACCAATGTCAAATATTCGTCACAGGGAATATATTCCCTGCATTCCATGCTTTATTGTTTTTGTTTACTAGTAATAATGTGGATTTGAAAAACATATGTAAATGTGGAAAATTTGGTACTCATGCATAATTCTCACATCAAGATGCAGGAAATATATTTCCTGCGGTACATGCACTATCACCGCCTCACTATTTCAGAATAGGCTTGTGCAAACAAAAATTGGTTTCGAAATGAAACAACATATTCTACACAAATTCGAAGTTACTATCCAACATCAAGTTAAAGATACAAGGATACTTAAACAAGGGTCTAGTACACATAAAATCGTAAGAAGAAAACGGAAAACACATTACACAGCAGCGCAAACAACCAAATGGAACGCTCACCCCTTACGGTGAAGTGATAGACTATCCCGCTCGAAACAGTGCTCGATGAACTTAAATCTCAAATAAGGTGTCTTGGCAGCACAATACGAGTTACGATTTTCTTTGTCTCGTAGGAACCATGGGGCAAAGAGGTGGAGTCGATCACCTTCCTACACATGCCCAGATGACAGAAGTTCGTCGACGGACTCATCAACTGACATTCCGCCCTTATGATGCGATCTCGCAATTGAGGCAATATCCGTTCCAACACTAACCAACTGTTCAAGTGACGCTGAAACCTCTCGGGCGCAGTACATTTTCTTCTTTCCTTTCACCTTCCTGTATTTCCATTTTCTTTTATCCCCACTATGATTTCCGGATATATTCATGGAGAATTAGCTCTACCTTCAACTGGGCCGCCACTGGAATCCATTGCCTCCGCATTAATGGGATACATGTCGCCTCTATACTCTCTGTCGCTATCCATGCCTAAGTCAAAACCACGCTGTGATAGCTTCGTTGGGGAGAACACATACTTGGTCGAGTCGTCGGTGTCCCCGAACAATTTGCCATATGTGTCATAGATCTCACTGTAGTTGAAGTTCCTGTACTTCGCATACTTTGGGTTCTTCTACATAGACGCGGTAGACGACAAATTACATTAGAATGCGAAAGAAGTACTCACTAGTGACATGTGTCTTTGGGTTATGCAGATGAAGGATGAATGAGAAGGCAAACAAAATGTACATTCGACAGAACTCGTGCTCACATATATCAAATAATTGGAAGATGCTTTTTTTTGTTCCATTCATCATGTTCAATCAATTACCAACACAACCAACATCATCGTTAACTACAATTAGCATCTCGAAAATGAGGAACTGAAGATGTGAAAATTATCGCTAGTTTCTAAATCCAGTTGAGTCCCGTGCACATTTTTTGATGTACTTAGTTCAGGACTGTTTTGGTGCAAACAGAAGTGAAATAATTGGGTACCTTAATTTTTGCTTCTCACCAATGGTCCAGGGTGTGAATTCTTCCGGTACCCGAGCGGAACTCAATTCTAGTGCATCGCAACAACTCAAACAAGTGTTTATGTTCTGTTCGCAGTTTATTTCAATAGTTCTTCATCTGCAATGTAGTCCAGTCCTTTCCCATCAAGCTATTGAACATGTCTGCTATACGATGCCATCATTTCAGGGAAAAGCATTTGCCTCGTCGGTGGCCTTCAACTATGACAAGTTCGTAGGTGTTGATGAACACTTTGTACTCTGACTAGTTCCATTTTGTGGTCTTCCGCACCACGGCCGGGGTGCCTGTGCCTTGGAAGAAGCATAGTTCAAGAGATCTCGGTTTCCACTTGTAAACTGCTGCCAAGGAAAACACGGGGTTAAAAGTTACTGATATTGGTGAAAACGGATAAACCACGACGCTATTTTGAATTTTCCGCCCAATGTTACACAGGGAAGTTCCTATGGTGGGTATGCCAAACAGGTAGTGAACGTCATCTTTTCGAGTTCTCTCCATGTGTATAAAGTTACAATTCATTGTATATATGAAGCAAATGTACGCATTGTGGTTGTCGAAATTTATTGAATGAAGAATGGCTTACCATTTGGTCGGGGTCATAGTGCTACCGGGAGCTGTCGTTATCCATTGTAGACGATGACAATTTTCGTGCAAGCCTCCGGATCTGTAGGCTCAGAACGTTTCGGATCGAAGTTGGCAACAGAAATGACAAGAGAAAAATCCACTTACTCGACGGAACTGGAAAACTTTCTAGTGGAAACAGTGTTATATCTTCGCCGTGGACAATGAAATTTTGGCGTTCTTCTACTGGATTTCGATTGTTGTCTGATTTTGCCCCTTGAATTGGTCCAGAAATTATTTCTCCAGCTGCGCATCTTCTATCTCTATTTTCTACGACCGATTAGATTGAAAAAGATGAGGGGTTTTGTGTACAATTAGAATATGAGAATCAGAAGAAAGATACAAAGGGAATAGGGAATATTGTCATTAAATTGGCATTTTGACACATTTTATTGAATTGGTTGCGTGTTGCCTGATGGCACTGTGCAAAAATGAGTTTTCAAAAAAAAAAAAAAAGGTTTCAAACATGAGCTTAATGTCATCATTGTCACCCAACTTGATTTTGTTACATCATTGTCACTCAACTTTATACTTAGGATGCGTTTGACACCCATTTTGGAGAAAAATTTGATTTGGAATAGTGATTGATGAAAGAAAGTGTGGTTAAAATGTAAGAAATTTTTTTGGATTTATGTGTAATATTATTTTATAGATAGAATGTGTGGTTGAAATGAAGAAAGAAAAAAAGAATGAGAATGAGGAAAAATGGGTGCCAAACGGGGGCTAAAGATAACTGCACAGGAGAAATGAGTCATAATAACATGTCAGAGAAAGTTATAATTACTGAAACTGGAGCTTTTCAAAATGGGGATTTTCTTCCGGTAAAGAGAGCTTTGGCTTCACCCCAGAACATGATCCCCTCTCGAGAAATGGATAACATTCCGATAGGCAATTCCTTTGATGCTTTAGTTCATACATTAAACTTAGAGGCCCCAAGGCAGGCTGGTGATGACTAGAGCTTAAAACCCGAGAGGGATGAGATTTATCGCTCAGATTCAGATACTCTTAATATCAGAGCCAATCACCGACGCAATAGGAAGCTCCATCACATCTCTGACCTGCGGGGTCAGAGATATCCCACAATTGTTCCTCTGATGAGTGCATTCTTTGTATGCAATGCTAAGGGGGTTGGCAATGCCACTACAACCCACACCTTAAATTAATTTATAGAAAGTATAATATTGCATTTCTAGCCATCGTTGAACCTATGTTACCTTCCAACAAAGCTTCTCATTTTGCCCGAAAGTTAGGCCTCTCCCAGGACTATTCCAATGAAAGTTGACGTAGCGGAAGATTATAGGAAAGATGCAAAAACCTCACAAATATGAGATAAACTGATGCAAGATTTNTTGAAATGAAGAAAGAGAATAAAAAAATGGATATCAAACAAGTGCTTTGTGTCATCATAGTCACTCAATTTGATTTTATTTCACCAAAGTCATCAAATTTTATACAACGTTTCGCTATAGCTACCTAACTTCATATAACATTTCATCATGGCTACTCAACTTCTTTTTACCATTTTCATTCATTTTACAAGGTAAATCGATAACTTTTTCATTATATATATAAAATATTTTTTTAGAAAATAAAATAAAATAAAAACTTAATTTAAAAAAAAAACTTATAACGTTCATTTTAAAATAAGTTTTTTTTAAAGAACATTTTTTTTAAAAAATAATTTTTAATTTTATTTTAAAATCGTTTTTTTTAAATCAAT